CAGATTCCTTTTAGAATTAAAGTATTGCCATAAATTTTTAGTAAATAAACTTGTTTCCCAGTTTGGGAAATCTGAGGCATCCTATCCTAAACTGGCTGCTACCCAAGGCTAGATAACTTAGTCTACCCTACTATTCAGCCCATATCTAGTGGCAGAGAAGCGCTCTGCATGGTTTCTCGAAAGCCATAGTGGTAAAAAGGAAAGCAACTGACTAGGCTGGAACTCAAAAGCATTTCGCAGTTGCTACTGTACCTGCCGATGACTTCCGTTAATCGCAATATTAAAAAAAAAAAAAAACAAAAAAAAAAAAAACACCACCCCATAAGATAGTTAACATTCAAATTAGACTGTGTATGTGTTATCGTGATATTTTTTTTCCTATTTTACATGACTAAATTGTCATCCTGCATTCAGTTTGAGAATTGCAAGCACGAGGAAAGTCTTTCGAAAACCGGACTATGGTCACTGCTCCAGACCAGGTGAATTGCTGAGATTAGTATTAGAGCAAGTTTATCTTTGGCACAATACTAGCTTATTCGTAGATCTACGGAAAATCGAACTTGCTATTAATTTCATAGGCAAAACCTGTATATTATCCTTTTTTGGTAGTTTTGTCTTTTTTATCTAAGTTCAGTTAGGAAATGTGTATATATTTAACCATCGATATCGATGTATGCGATACATCCTTTAATCATTTGTAATTGGCGTATTTTTTTTTTCTTTTTGAATATTCACTTCTGCTATTTTTACGTTTCACTGATAAGATACTATTGCAATCATTCATTTTCTGAAATTTTATTTTTATATAAAAGTTATGTAATCGTTTGGTGTGAATCACGGGACAATCTTAATCGATACTATTACTGCAAAACTTTGCTTACTTAAGATAATAATTACATTTGAAAAAGTGATAATGTACTTTGATTTACTTGTGTGCTTGAAAGGATAACCTACAATGTATGGATTACAACTTAATATTTAAATCCAAGTTAAAAAAATTAATAATTGAATAGTTATAATTTATCAGACTTCAAAACGATTTGTCCTTATATGAAATTGTAATATGTTTTTTTTTTCTTATTTTGACTAGAGAGAGATCTGCTCATTTAAAAATTAATAGATATTTATTCATTAAGAAATTCGACCGGCTGAAAAACTTTTATTTAAAAAAAAAAAACGCAATAATTCAAAGTCCTAATGATATGAAAATTCAACTTACCAGAATGTGTACGCTAAATAATATTTGATTATATCTGTAGCTTAAACCCTCAAAAATGTGTTATTGTGCCAAACTTCGATATATCAGTTAAATTGAGGATTCACTGTTAATAAAACTTTAATGCTGCGAGTGAATATAGCTTATTAACCACAACTATAATTAGAGCGACTCTCACAGATGAATATCCGTTTTTGTAATGTATGGCTTTTAAAGGCAGACTTGATCGTAAATATCTTTTTTTTGGGAGGGGGAGTATAAAAAATAAATAAATAAAAATGAAAACAGGAATAAAATCGTCGATAAATGCAAATAAAAAATCTAGGCTTTTGGCGTAAATAAAGAAGCAAATTTATCGATGAGAATAAAGGGATTTTCATGAGCAGAGTTGAAAAGAAAATAAAAGTTGATATCGGTATAAATTCATTTGGAGAAGTGAACAAGCACTCATTTGTCTAATGAGATATATTTCTAACTTAAATATGTCATATTAAAAATTAATTCTACATTAAAAGCATAGTATTGTAGATGGTAATGCATCATGATAGATAGATTGATTGATTTAGAAAGACAGATATATATATATATATATATATATATATATATATATATATAGATACCTAGTGAGCCAGACAAACCTACCTATTTCACTAAACGGATCGTCAGGGAAAATTCGAGGGTTTTCAAACGAGTCTAGTTATATATATATATATATATATATATATATATATATATATATATATATATATATATATATATATATATATATACAGAGATGAGAGAAAGATAAAAGATTTGGATAGACTGAGATGACAGATTTACATATAGATAGATAGATAGATAGATAGATAGATGAGATAGATAGATAGATAGATAGATAGATAGATATGAACTAAATCGATAGATATGTAGATATATAAAATTAGGATAAATTTAAAATATTTCGCTTTTATATAAGCTGCATCAAGTGTAAATAGAAGCGAAACATGATAAATTTATAAACGGTTCCTTATACTCTCATAGATAGATAGATAGATAGGTATGAACATACTAAATAGATAGAAAGATAGAATGAAGGATAGATATAAACAGAATAAATGGATAGATATGAACAGATTAAATAGATAGATATATATGAACAAACGAAATAGATAGATAAATATGAAATGAGGAGATAAAAAGATAAATAAATATGAATAGGCAAGAGAGATAGATAGATAAATAGGAACAGACTAGATAGATAGATAGATAGATATAGATAGATAGAGGTAGATAGATATGAAACTATTAAAAAATATTTCTGACAACAAAGCATGTTTGCCATTTTTTTTTCTTCCAGCCATTCCATTCCATTTGTGAAATATCAGTGTTGTCATATCACGCATATAACAATGTCCATATTGGGAGAAACGTAAATGAGAGAATAAATCTTTCTCCCAAGTGTTCTCCTTATACTATTAACATAAGATAACTTTTAGGAGATAACACCAAAGTATTATAAGGATGCATTGCAAATAAAAACTCGATATTCTGGAAGCTATTATGAATACAAAAGAAACCAGCATTAAATAAAACATCTTTCTCAATAGATCATATATTGAAGTGTGTATTAAAAAAAAAAAAAGAGCACTTATAAGCGTTTACTAGATACTTTACAGTTTGGCCATTGCAGATGATGTCACTTTCAACTCACTTAATTTCTAATTCCAGAAATTTAAAATACATCCTTGATTAACTATATATAATTTATATAAAAATTAATGACAATTCTTGACAAAAACTGTGACAGTCGAAAGTACTAGAATGTAACAAAAACAAAAAAGAACTTCGGACACTTAATTAACGAATTTAGTCCTCAGTCAGAAACTGGAAAACAATTTAAAAAGCTGAATATAAAGACCTTATTGGTGTTATTTAATATTACTTATTTGGATGAAATTCTTGCTGGTTAAATAGACCTCACACACACACACACACACATATATATGGATGTATTATATAATTATTATTCTAGGATATTAATTAAATATGTCAGGTCATAACATTACCAGTCATAAAAGCATCGTATTAATGCATTCATTATCGCAAATTGTAAAATTACTGGCATTCACTTGTCAGTACAATCACCTGATGAGATGCATTGATTTCACATCAAACAATAAACTGCAATTGTGTAGGATTTTGACAAGTTTTTGATGTAATATCCTAAAATAAATATTGCTCTACTTTGTATTGAGCCCTTTAAATTAAATGTTATGAATGTTGAAATTGTACTCTATTTGTTGTCATCTTACTGATATATATATATATATATATATATATATATATATATATATATAGAAATGGATAAAATTCGACAAATATATATATATATATATATATATATATATTTGATTTTTGTCCATTTCATATATATATATATATATATATATATATATATATATATATATATATATGCACTATTTCAATCCTTTTAGACTGTTGTCCTAATCTTTACTGCAATATTCATGATGTTTCAGACATTGTATGTTCCAGCCTTCTTCAGCTGATATATGTTGGAATTTCAAACCGAACACTTTATTTAGTCCATGGGGGTAGATTGTTCTGATTCTAAGTGGCATGGCTTTTTTTTTTTTTTTTTAGATATCTCAGTTTCCATTAATTCATCTTAAGTAACTCAATTCTCCTACTTTTTGTTCCATCTGCTGTGGCCAGGGATTGAACTCAAGTCACTTTTTGGATTACTCAATAAATACTTTCATCTACCAGGCCATGTGTTACTGAGACATTAGGTTTATAAGTCCCAAAAATTCCCTAAGGACACATGGTCCAGTGGACTAGTTGAAATTGTTGTGAATATGGTGATAAAGAGGAAGACAATAGTCTGAATGACATAAATAGTGTAAATAGTTACAGCACCTCATCTCAGAAATATAGACATATCTTGAAGCAGGTCAGGTCGAAACATTATGAATATGGCAATATATGTTGAAATGTAAATAGTGTAAATAGTTACAATACCTCATCTCAGAAATATAGACACACACACACATATATATATATATATATATATGTGTGTGTGTGTACACATATATATGTATGTATATTTAGGCAGTTTATCTTCATTCAAACATGTTTTATCGAATAGTATAGACATATTATGTCTGTTTATTTTTATACTGATCCTTTGCAGTTCTCTAATCAGTTTCTTAATGTTAAGATGAAATTCATCAAGGAAGGCGCCAAGTCCTTTTGATATTTTCAAAGATCATCTTTACGGGTAAATTATAAAGACAAACTTATTCTAACTGTGATAAAATCTACACTCCATTGTGGTGGTGAGTTTTAAAAACACATGCAAATGTGTTGTTATTATTTTCAAATTTAGAATTTATCTGTTGTAGCTATGGAATTTTTTGCACTCGAACACACACAATATAAACAATTACTCAATTGCAATAGAATTTCAATTAAATACACTTGATTTTTGTGAATACAGTGCTTAATGTCCTGAGATTAGAGGCACATATAGTGTAATTTTATGATCTTGGGCCCTTTTTAAAAGCATGACAAGCTTACATGTAACTAAAAGTGTCACAGTAAAATCGAGCAAACAATATACTTCATCTGTGCTTCAGTAGAACCGAACCTCAGATACTTTAAATGAAGTCAGTTCCATTTTCTCCCTTGTATTTTTCCCTGTGTGCAGTGACTATCACTATCTTCCCTCCCATGTAGAGTAGGCTGAAGTAGTCACTGCCACTGAAACACAAATATGTATGTGAATATTCATTGGATTAAAATGAAATAAATTTATCACTAATACACTTTTCTTCAGTCAGCAGCTAACAGGCTCAAGAAAAACAGGTTTGTATATTTACTTTTGCTAATGAGCTCTGATCTTTTATTGAGAAAGTGTTCTTGCTCAGAAAATGTTATAATGCAGAATTTCTCTTACAAACATAATCTACAAAATTTGTATATTGCCATACAATCTTGTACTGTCTTTAGTATTTTCTACTCTATGACAAGAGATTTATTGTCTTTCAGTTCTTATACATATTTGAACAGCATTGTGCTATCCAAATATGTATGGGATACTATCTCATACTGAAAGCAGTTTTGTGATTATAAAAATGTTCTTTCCAAGGACATTTGGTCATCATGAAATAAATCATATTGGATCCACCATACATCTTTACTGTATCTTAGGATATAATGTTTCTCTTTAGGAACATTCTCTCAATGGAACAGTCATGTTTGTATCTATAGTTACAATAGGGGAGACTATACACATGAAAATAATACATTATATATATATATATATATATATATATATATATATGAGGAGAGAGGAAAATAAAAGAAGTGGAATTAAGAAGACAGAAGATAATGATTGACATTGCATTTAAATTTTTGAAGATAAAAATTGACTGCTTCTTGCTTCCCAGACCTTTTTTAATGCAATGTTAATCGTTATCTTCTGTCTTCTTAATTCTTATTCGTTTATCATTCTCTCTTCTTAACTGTAGTTTTTCTCATATTCTCTAATACTCAGTAACTTCTTGTGTCCTCATGGCTTTATTGCATTGCTTGAGGTGAAATGGGTAAAAAAATACTAATAAATAATTGTAACACAATAGTCTTATTCATGATAAGAACAAACTTGTTATCATATGGCAGTTGTTCAAAAACAATACTCAGTGTCAAAGTGATAGTAAAAAGTAGATAGTATTAATAATAATTAATTAAGAAGGAAAAATGACAAATTAATTTTTTCTTATTAATTCTTTAAATTTTTCTTAATTTATTTTTACTGATATATATATATGTGTATTTGTGCATGTGTGTGTGTGTGTGTGTGTGTGTGTGTTTTGCAGGATTTAGTTGGACAAACAGACCAGTACTCAATTGTATTGCACGTTGAATCTGCTCTGCCAACTGGATGCTAGTTTGGAACTTTCTTGTGAGGGTGAGTATCATATTTTGATTTTACGTGTGTGTGTGTGTGTGTGCACATTTACAAGGTGAAATGACATATTTATATCAAAGTATATGGAGTTAAAAATTAAGGTCATAGATCAGCAAATAATTTAATTCAATTCTTCAAAAACTTCATAAACAAAATTTAAAAATTTATCACAGGTCACACAGTCATTCAGGTGTTGACTTTCATCAAGGCATTCAAACAAAACGTTATAATTGTCCTTTCAAGTGTGCAAACACACCTGCCTACAACCTATTGTTTGTAAGGCTTGCATTGGAGAGTCTCTGACTGGTTTATTATAAAAAATTATAATGTTACTGTTTGATTAAGGGCAACACAGTCAGTCACCAGGAAGTTTGAGAAAAGTGTCTCTTAATAGTTGTGTCAGTTTTGAATACTTCTCTTAAAAATTAGATCATTGGATTAAATCTAAGAACTTATAGAAGTTTGGTTTGGGTAAAAATCTTTTTTTTGCTGTGTAACAAAAACACATTCTCATACTTTATCTGAAATGCAGGGATTTTCAACTTAAAAGTTCTCAGGATAAGAAGCAACAGAAAATAAAGAAAGAAGGAAACATTGTCATATGGTGAGTAGATGTGGCACAAGGCCAAAAGTATGAGGTGCTCAGTGAGAAAGATTATGATATGAAGTTAAACTTCAAACTGGAACGTTTTAACAAAGAACTTACTCTACATGCTGAATTTCTTTTATGTACTGTATCCCCTCAAGACATGGGTGACCATGGCTCTCCACAACTTCCTGTCCCTTGCAACTCCACACAATGTTTCCTCTTTTACTATTCCTTTCAATTCCTGCTCTGCTATCCATTTTCACATGCTTGTTAGGCAGGTTACTCACTGTTTCCTTCTGACCTTCAGTATGTCCTGTGAGTGTCAAATTCTCTAAGCTCTCTTACCTTATGTCCCAGAAATTTCAATTTTTGCTACCATTTTCCTTAAAACTTCCTCATTTCTCATATACTCTAGCCATGGTATTTTCAGCATCCTTCTGGAGAAGCACATCTCTTCATCCTCTACAGCTGTGGAGAAATTGTTCAGAATTCACTACCACATAGGAAAATTAATTCAAGTTATGAAGTTAGCAGAAAATTCAACCCTACTCTTGGTGGCCTTGAGGATAAATCTTTTCAGTATCAGCTCGGGATATATTCCACAAACAAAAAGCACAAAGTCTTGGGTTTTCTCAAATTAAGTACTGTGAGCTGGAGTTTCATTCTATATCTGGGAAAGATATATTCTCAAAGAAAAACATCACCATAGACCCGTAAGTTGCT